TCTCTGGCCCACATACTTCATTTTTTAATCACACTTTCTATGCACCCCAAAATATTACAGGACAGGTGTTCTTATTTTTTGAGCCTGATCTTGACGAATATGCAATAGCCCCTTCAGAATCTTATTTTTGGGCTGGACTTCATGGTTCATGGGTGCTCCATGTGGCTGGGTGGTTCATTCCTTTATATTGTGGCAGAATGTTTCATGATATGCCATTATAATATCCCACCTGCTACTGATGGCTCTGTACGGCATTGCTAGGTTTGGATAATTAGAAAAAACAATGCCACAAACATTATCAGACACATCTTGGTACATTCACACCTGAGATTCTCTAGGGGACAGACCCAGGGGTAGGACTGTTGCACCAGATTTCCTAGATACTGCTGAATGGTGGTGACAGGAGATCATCACACAGCAACTCTGAGTTCCTGGCATTCATGTTCTTGCCCATCCTAGCCACTCAGCAAGTTTAATATTTGACCATCTGTTCGATCCCCAGTACCAAAAAAATAAACAAATAAAATAAAATAAAATATTTGACTGTCTGATGTACAGTGCTAGAGGTTTTTAAACCTCTGTAGGCAAGATACCTTTCAGAAGTTTACAGAATATATATATGGTCTGTTTTTAATTTATAAGTAGTCAAATGTACAAATCTAAGGGACAATGTGATCATCAGTATCATACTTATGCAATCATTCTCTAGATCAAATATGTAATATTTTTACTCCCCAAGACAGTTCCTCGTGTCCCTCCTCCTTTCTCCTATTCTGACTTTTATCGGCGTGGAGTGGTCTCACCTGTTCTTGAGCTTGAACTCTTATTTCTGTGTAAGTCAGTTCACTGCTTCCAGCGGGTGTAACGCCCCACTGTTCGACTCTGCTGCAACTTGTGTTCCTGTGCTCCCACTGGTGGCCCTGGAGCACTTCCAGTTTGGGCTTTAGGAACAAAGCTCCCGGGCACAGGTCTTTTCTGTGGACATTTCTCGGGCACGGGTATACATACACCTAAGGCCAGGGCTGCCTGCTCGGAGGGAGGGGCCGCTGTGAGAAGCTGGTTCTCCAAAGGGTGTCCCACCTGCCTTCCCCGGAAGGGCGGGCTTCCTTCTAGCCACTTCATCATGGCTAGGGCTGCCATGGGACCTGTGCCCTCTGGACCTGGATTCTTGGGTTACTGTTTATCGTAGGAACCTCACTCCAGGCATGGGTGGGGCAGTCCACATATATTTGCACATTTCCTTTCCCGCTCCTATTTCTGCTAGGGGCCTACAGTGTCTCCAGCTGTCCTAGGACTCTGTCTAGAGTTTAATAGGACAAGCGGAGTGTCTCCGGGCAGGAGAAAAGGAAGGGAGACCAGGAATCAACTATTCAGGCGGGGAAGCTATTCTGCAAGCACAGTTCTGACCTCATCCTGTTGCTGTGGCCTGACAAGAAAAGCTTCCAGGAGCCTTGTTCTGGGGCATTATTCGAAGGATGTTTTGATGATGATTTATTTATCCTTTCATGATCGCTTTCTGCCTTAGAAAAGCCAGGAGAGGGAGGGCGGAAGGGGACATCAGCCTTCTCAAAACGGAAGATTCTGCTGTAGTGGAGGCAATTCTAACCCCCTCCTCGCCGCCACTGCTTCCAGGGAAGGAGAGCAGCCTGCCTGCACCTCACAGGGCGGAGAAAGGTGGCACCAGGAGGAGGGTGGGACAAGAGAGGCTCTCCACTACCAAGTCTCCTTCTGGGAAGAGAAGAGTGGTCTTCAGGTGCCTGGCCTGAGGGAGTGGTTTGTGTGTTGATGACTTCTGACAATAAGTAGCCGGCACACAAGCAGGCCAGTGGAATCTGCCGGTGCGTAAAAGAACAGAAAGTACATAATCCAAAAACTTGAGACCTGTGGCTACTCACAAGTGCTGTTGCTGTTTTATACAAAAGGTACTGTAAACATCCAAGACAGTGCGGAGCAGAGGACTGACAATTTCTCTCTAATCCTTTCCTCTCCAGCGGATGTTGGTGGTGGGGTAAATAAAATAACTACATTTTAGTGTTTCCATCTATTCCTCCATGGCAAATCACCTCACTTCTGTTCTCTTTCTATTTCTTCTTGGTTTTCAAGTTTGTAAAATTAACAATCTGCATTAAAAAGGAACAGATAAGAAACAGCATTTTGTGTCTGCATTCTTAGGCTCCCCACTCTTCAGCCACCACCCAAGAAGCAGGGCCTCCCTCCAGAGTATGCGCCCTCACAGGATGCCTCCATGCGCTCAGTCACTGCACACAGAGTTGAGCAGAGCTGTGCACAAGCCGCTGCGAGGAGCCAGAGACCAGCTGTGCCTTCCAGATGCCCCAGAGCCCACACCCAGCCACTGGGGGGCGCTCCAGCCAAGCCTTCACACAGGACTCCACAGGGCAGCCTTTGTTCCGGGCCTCTGCTGGGCCAGCCAAGCGGCTCTCAAACAAAGCGGCCTGCAGGTGCTCCCGGGTTTCCCTCTCTCCACCCTAGTTCCTGCTCCTTCTCCCCTTTATCGTTCCCAGACTGGAGGGCCCTGCCCAAAACCTCTTTTGCAGCAGGGTACAGTGGTGCATGCCTGTCTTCTCAGGACTCTGGGAGGCTGAGGCAGGAGGAGAGCAAGTTTGAGTTTGCCTGGGCAACTGAGTGAGACCTTGCCTCAAAATAAAAACTTTAAAAAGGGAGGGTGATGTTTGTCTTCCTACCCTTCCCCAGAGAGCTACCCTGGGTCTGTCTCCAACCAGTGCAAGGGCCTAGACTCATCTCCAGCAGTGCAGATCAAAAACAAATCACAAAAAAATTCTGCTTCACACAGGACTGAAGACAGGGCAGCAACTAATACAACAGATTACTCACTTGCCACTGAGCTGAAAGAACACATCAGATTCTACCTACCAAAAAAGAAGACACTTAATGAATGAGAAATTAACATGCTAAGATATGACTCCCAGGGCCAAAGAAATAAAAGCCATTTCCAAACTGCGACAGAAATCCGTATTGATTTTTCTCCTCATGCATCTCTGTCATCAGTCCCAAGCCAGGGACCCTGCGAAGGGTACAACTACTTATGCTCCTTTAAATTAACCGATCACACAAATCCCTCATGAGAGTTTCAAGTGAGATGTTTCTAGCTCCAACCAAAGTTCTTCTTGACTGTTTTAAATGTTTGCTCCCTTTCGGAAGATTGACATTTCCTTTCTTCTCCAGCAAAGAGAAAGCTGAGTGGGTTTTAGTCTCCTTCCTTAATCCAGTTTTGTGTTTCAGCAGTTTCACTTAGGTGCTCAGACATTTGTTTCCCTGACTTGGTCATTTGGCTGAGCACCTCCAGCGGCCAGGTACAGGGCGCCACCCCGATGTGGCCTGCAGCACTCCCGAGGGCTGTTCTTGGGAGGTGCACAGGGTAAATACACCAGTTCCTCCCAGTGTGCAGAAGTGCAATGAAGAAAGAAAGTGGAAGATGTGAGAGGGATGGGAGGTGTCGGGTAGGTTCATTAAGAAAGAACTTTCCGAGGAGTCATGATCTGCACAGACCTGGCGGCACACAAGGGAGGCGCCCTTCGTGTAAGCAGGGGAGACAGGAAACAGCAAAGGCCAGCAGGCACCACTCTGCGCCGGCAGCAGGAAGAGAAGGGCAGGGCTCCCTTCCTTCCCTTCCCCAGAGAGGCCCCTGGGTCTGTCCTCATCCACGCTCCCACTCCCTGGCTGCACAGAGTCTGGGCATGCAACCTATTTTTGCTGTATAAATAAACAAATTTTCTTTGCAGGTGATTATTTTTACAGGTGCCCCCCTCTGACTTCCCAGAACAGAGCAGGGTTGAAGCCACACCTCAGGCCTCTGCAACCCTCCAGTGCCAGGTAAAACATCCCCACATGCAATAGCTTACGCTCAATGTCTGTGTTCCTCTCAAAATTCACGTGCTGAAATCCTGCCCTGCCCCAAGGTGGTGGCATTATGTGGGGCCTCTGGGAAGTGACTCAGTAACAGGGACAGAGCCTTCATGAATCACGGCAGTGCCTATACTGACATGGAGACCTGCGAAGGATCAATGAAATCTTCCCAAAATGAGAAGCTGCGTGGGGTGTTTTCAGTCACCCTACTTTTTCTTTTACTTGGTTTATCATTTTTACTTGTTGCACAACTGAACAGTTTTAAGAATAGAACAATTAATCTACATCCTACTTGATCAAACCCTGTGTTTGTAAAGTTCAACAGAGCTGGCTCATATCGAAAGACAGTCCTCCCAAAAGGTGAGAAGACATTTTATCACAGCCGGGGGAATGAAGGGAAATTCATTATGGTTACTAATGCTATTTCTGTCAATGTCTTTGGAATTCTAATTAGATTATTAAAACTTTGCAAATCATTACATTAGATCTAGATTCCACACCTTACTGTGACAAGGGTACTTTCGAAATTCGAGGATCCTGATAGCACGGGTAATGATGCATTGCTGATAATAAAGTTGCAGGAAAATTCCTCCAATAAAAACCAGTTGGAAAAGACAGAGCTCATTTATCTTACTTTCTCTCCTAGCTTTGTGCCTTTCCTGTCCTACCAGCTGCGTGACGATGTTGAACCCCATGCTGTAATGCTTAATGGCTTGTCTTGGCTACTTATTTTTGTCCCCTAAATCTCAGAAGCAAATCAAAAAAATTATACGTGAAAGGACACTTCAAAGAAGAATATTTTTAGGAGAGAGATGAGACAAATGACAGGTTCAACATTTAAGAATAATATAGCACATCTCAGGGCATTTGATTTACAACATATGCATTCAAAGTGGTACCTGAAGAGAAACAAACGGCTGGCTGTTAACCCAGATCCATTTGCGGGTGATATATGGGCATGCTCTTTACCCATCAAATAGTGGGTCCAGTGCCCTTCACCATCAGCACATGAGGGATGGGTGTCATCGCTGTCCTCTGCAAGATAACCTGCTTCCTTTAGGTGGAGATCCGAGCCCTTCCCATTCCAGCAAAGGAAGTGTATGTGGCTTACTCACCATGATGAACAACTCCCTTCAGCCCATGGATAATGGGATCCAGTGCAGAATTGTCCCTCGGACTGACCTACATGTAAAGAAAACATGAGTGGTTAAATCTATTCTGGCATCAAACACAACAGTCTCAGTTTAATCTTCTAAAGAGAAGGGGGAAAACAGATGTTATCTAGCAAGTTGTGTAGGTCTCACATATACCATAGCTCTCACCAAATGTAGGAGATTTATGACACAATAAAACCAAGTGAGGAGGTCTAAATCAAAAGAAAGAAACTTCTCAGAATACATTATAACAGGAGAGAAATACCACAGTCCTAGCAAAATCTTAAAAAGCAACTGCGAGACTTTCTTCCTGCTTCGTTTTATTAAAAGTGGGGCCTGATCGGCTAAAAAGTCATTGAAAGTCATCAGAGAGCAATCCATCACTGACTGAATATTTCAATACCTTCTGGTGATTTTTTTCCCTTCCTTCTTAGAAAATGCATCAGTTCCCGGCCAGCCTGTCCTCCTTTGTCAGGATCCCAGCCCCCTGTGAAAAAATCCCACGGTAGAAGGGCCATCTGTAGGAGATGCTCAAAGCGAGACAGCGGGAGAGCAGCTCAAAGAGACAGTGTCTCCACCTTCACGTTCTGCTGGGCCTTTTGATGCCCCCAAAGCAGAGCCTATTTGGCCTAAATCCCACTGACTTTCCCATACTTCTTAGCAGAAATTCTCACTCTTGCCTTCATTTGAAGATTAAAATTTCACCACCAAATTACAATGATCATTTTTAGGTACTTTCTCCGAGCTATACCCTGAAATGTTTACAAATAAATGAAATGATGCTGGGAATTTGCTTCAAAATGACCCGAGTGGACAGCAGGGGGCGTGAGAGAGGCACAGATGCAGGGCAAGCCGCAAATCCATCCATCACTATGACCTTGGGTGATAAGCACAGCATGGGTCATGACATATTTTCTCCACTTTTGTGTTTAATTTTTTCCAAAATAAGGAGCTTTTCAAAATCCATTATCTGTGGTCAGCATAGCTCCTACCCACTTTGTTCCCCCTTCAGGGAGAATATTTACCATTAATCCACTCCTAACATAATGAAGTTGAGATGTTGATGAATCGCTCAATGTGTAGCAAGACTCAATTTGATGTTTCATGTTAGTTAATTCAGAGGAATCCAGAGCTGTCCCTAGGTGAAATTATAACACTCCTTCCTACCCTTATAGACTCTCTGCCTGACCTAGCTTGCTCTCTGATGATAACCCACACTTCACACTTTTCCTCCTGTCTTCTGCTTCAGCAGCTCCAGCTGAAGGCAGTGGTTGTCAGCTGAGGGCATTCTGCTCTCTAAGGGGACAAGTGGCCACACCCAGAGACACTTTTGGGTGTCACAAGTAGGGATGGAGGGGAAAGAGGAGAGGAGGAGCTACAAGCATCAAATGGGTAGAGGACAGAACTGCTGCTAAATACTCTATGACACTAGACGAGTAAAACTCATCTAAGAAAAACTGCCTGGCTGGGTAGGTCAGTGGTGCAGAGGGGAAAGTTGGCAGCCCTAGTGAGACAGATGCTTCAGGAGTTAACAGGGATTACCTCTGAATGTCTGGAGCCCCGAGTTATGCCCAATTCAGAAAACAGGTACCATTATGCACAGACTAGTAAAACAACATGAAACTTGGTAGTATGTCATAAACATTACAGGTATGGGGAAAAAAAGAATCAGTGAATAGGGACGCAGTGTAACAATCATAGGGACAGAAGTTCGGGAGTCGTTGAGTATGTCTCCAAATTGCCTGAGAAGAAGCTCAAGCCAGGAAGGAGTTTAATACACTCACCGAGGCATGAAGCACTCTTGAAAGATGAACACCAACTGAATACACAAAAGCAAAATGGTACCTGAAGAACTTCTGTTTGTGCCATAGCAAGTCAGTGATCCAAATGTGGTCAAAAAAGAAGTCACAACACAAGAAGGCAAAACTAGACAATCCAAAAAAAAAAAAAAAAAAAGACAATCTAACCACTATTGCGGCTATGCATCCAAAGTCCAGAATAGAATAAAGTAAGAGCCTAGGGAAGAATCCCTTGTCACACTGAAGTTATAGGTAAAAAAAGTACTACGGTTTGGATGAGTGTCCCCAAAGGCACTACTGCAAGGTACTACTGCGAGGGGTGGCACCTTTAGGACAAGGGGCCTCACAAGGTATTTAGGTTATTGGGGGCATATGCTTGAAAGGAACTGCAGGACTCAAGGCTCTGCTGGCTCCCTGGCTTCAGAGGTGAGCCACTTTGCTCTGCCACACACTCCCACAAGGTGCTGCCTTCACTCCAGTCCATGGAATAGGGCCAACTGATCATGGAGTGAAACATCCACAACTGTGAACCAAAAGCAACCTTTTCCTTTGTAAGCTACTCACCTCAGGTATTTTGTTACAGTGACAGAAAACTGATTAGCACGCGGTCTCTGATTCAATCTGGTGGAGACACTCCTGCCGGTTTACTCTAGTACCTGTGGGAGGCCCTAAAGTGGCCCCAGATTCCTCCCATCCTTGCCACTTACACTCTTCACAATTGGACCTTGCCACTTCTCCATCAAAAGTGTGTATCAACTTCACCTCCCTTTGAAACTAGGTTTGTCCACATGACTTGCTTTGGCAAAGGAGAAATTAGGGAGTAGATGCAGACAGAGGCTCACAGGGCTTTTGGAATCCAAGGGTCACCAGGTGAGGAAGCCCAAGGTAGCCCACTGGAGGGTGAGACAGCACGGGGAGCAGATCCATCAGTCACAGCTGAGGTCCTCTAGGTGCACCCACCAGGCAGGCCAGTGTGTCCACAGGGGCCTCTGGCCTCTGCTGGGGAGACCCAGCTGAACAGCCCCAGCCATTTCTACCTGCCACTCTACAGAATTAGGAAATAATAAAAAGATTGTTCTTATAGCTAACTCGCATCATGTATTATACAGTAAAATTTAACAGCCTCTAAAAGTGTGTATAAGGAGCAGATAAGACACAGGCTATATTAATAATTTTCTTAACAAGTATAATTTTTGCTTATGCTTTTCCCCAAAGGTTTCTCAGTAAGACTGCATAGTGTAAGCCCGATGAGTTTATGTACTCCTCCAAAGCTGTCACCCATCCTGAACTACGGCACATTTCCAAGACACGCTGATCCAGCCACATCCCTGATTTAGGGTTCTGCAGCCTCAGTTATCTATGGCTGACTGTGGCCTGAAAACTTTAAATGGAAAAGTTCAGAAACAAAACAAGTTCTACGCTGTGCACAGTCTTCACTAGCATGATGCAATCTCATGCCCTCCCGCTCTCCGTGTCCAGAACAGAAAGCATCCCTCTGCCCAGTGTGTTCACGTTGCACCAGCGACCTGTCCCTCAGGCACTGCGGAGCGCTCTGGGTAATCAGACCAGCCATCATGATGTCACCATGCTGTGTTCCAGGAACCCTTATCTTACTTTATAGCAACCCCAAAATGCAAGAGTCTTGAGGCTGGCAAATTTGTTACAGTATATTGTTCTACTTGTTGTAAATTCCTTACTGTGACTAATACTGCATATAAATTAAACTTTACCACAGCTGTGTATATATAAGAAAAACACAGTAACACTGAGCTTAGCAACATCTGTGTTCAGGTCTCCCCTGCAGATGAGGGGGATTACGGTGCTCTCCTGTTCCACGCACACTGAGATGTTTTTCCACTGGGGCACCCTTTAATCCATAGGTATTTTCTGATGATGTGAAGGCTCAAAGAAAGTGTTCCTCATCTTGCATGACTGACACCTACAGATAGTATCTGCAGGCCACACAAGAGGAAAATAACCAGGCAGCCTAATCCAAGTTCAATTTCTGTTCACTTGTGATCACAGCATCGCTGTGTGCAAAACTGAGACGTGGCCTCATTTGAGCTCAAAGACCTGATCCTATATTCTAAACAACCCTATAAATGGCAAGCCTGCTACACTGTCCATTTGGCTGGATGACCTCTATTGCTGGTGTGTATAGCTGGGGTTCCTAAGATGAATGAGGAGAAAGAGAGAGAAAGTAGAGTTTGTTAGCTTGTCAGAGAAACTTACTAATAATACTGAGCTCATTCTCTCCATTCTCTTGTCTGCATCTTGCTTCCAGAACTCAGGGTGGGGAATCCAAATCGCATGCTAATAAGTAGATTTGTTCCAGTGAGGCACAACCCTAACTGAAATAATCCCTTCCACTATTTCAATCAATTTGCCACTTAAAAAAATCGTGAACATAAGCTAAGCAATTTGGCAGCTTTTACTATGATGACAGTGGAGAACAGTGTCTTAACAACATGCATTTACATTCTGCTCTCCGCCCAGGTTAGAGGAGGCCAAGACAGGGTGGAAAAGGAGAATTCTGAATCAGGCATGCACCCCTGAAGCTGCATGCTCTCCTCTGTACAACAGGGACCCAGTTTCACAGTGTTCTCAGACACAATACAGCACAGACTATAATGCTGAATACAAAAGTAGCACCCACAAAGAGGTGGGTAAAATTGGGCAACAAGCTAACCTAAATGCGCAAATGTAAATGAATGTTGAACAACAGCATTTTTATCGCTGATTTTCTCAATGTGTTTGGCTCTCAAAGTAATACCTCTTTGAGCTCAAATTTCTGAAGATCCAAATTTATGTTTTATTTGACATCCACTTGATTTTATAATATTCTGCTCCTTTTAAAGCCTCACAAAGAGTTTTCCTGGCTCTTAAAACTTGCTTCCTTCTACTTTAAGATCAAAGGAGTTACGCAGTAATATTGAGAAGGCAGCAGTTGCACAAATGAGCTTAAAATGGACTAAAAGAAATAGAACACCCCCCCCCCGCCCATCATGTTGGGCTCTCATCACAGACCTTTGCTCCTGGCACTTCCATTTTAGAGCAGCTTTCATAGCATTAGTCATCTACAAAAGGATGGCATACGAACCTGACAGAGGGCTGTGGGTTAAAGCTTTCCAGTTGTTGTCTTTCAGTAAATCCAAAATACATAGGGACACTGGCAGTGCGAACACTATGGCCTGTAGGTCTGGACTACAGGCCAAATACACATACATGC